AAATGTTGTGTTTTGGGATGGTCGCACGGCAAAGATTACTGTCTTATACGCTGTTCTCACATACAAACACACGCACTGTTCGTGGTAGGCCCACACTAAACGACGTAGAGCATTTTGGCTCAAACTACGCAAATACTGGCAAAACTGTGACAGCCGATTAACAACAAACTATGAAGCTGAGACGAACACTTTGCTCGAAGGTGGCGCTAACAATGAACTGGATAGGGATGCTGACAGAAGCAACATGAATAGTAATGTTAAATATCTAAGCTTAGCTCTTCCGTTAAATACCTGTTTCTGTAATTGGTTTCTATCGGGTTCAATACTTGTAAAGTACGATTTGATATTTCGTACATAATCACTATTATTATTGTGCAAGCGATGATGAAAGTTGGTTTGCTCTTTGCATGGAGTTATGAGTGCTTAGTAGAAGACATGATGAATACTCTTGATGACTGTGATCTACTAGAAAAATTTTCCAATATGACCAATGTGCATGAACATAATGATGTTACAGTGTCATTAAAGGTAAAAAAATTCAGATCTCGTGATGCATATTATAATAATTGTACTCGTGTTTTTTGTGAATGCTATGGCTTTGTAGTTTCAAATAAATTTTACGCGTGGAGAATTCTCAAGTAAAGCGCTCGCTACTAAGCCCGAGTGAATGCTCCTCAAACGTCTAGTCTGATATTTTTTTCAGATTTTCACCTTTAAATGCTTTCTGGAGAGGAGCCAAAGACTGTTAGAATAAAATGAGGAGAGAAAATGGAAAGATATATATAGAACAAACAGTGGCTTGCAAGAAGAGGCTCGGGGCTCACCAAAAACGGCTCTGGCTCACAGACTCGCACATTAGTTACTCTCTCAGGGAGTAGGGATGTGTCACTTACCCATCCAATGTACTGGGACCAGGCTAAAGCCTTTACCCGGTAGAAATGATTACCTTGTGCATGTAGCTTCTCCCTGTAATATCAGGTTATTATTTGGGTGGTGGGTGTTGAGAATAGACAAATTAATCACTTAGTGAGGGTTATCTAGATGTTATATGAAATTCCCTTTTAAATGGTAGTGCATCACAAGTATATACATCTAATAGAGCTTATAATCAGATTTGTTGGGGTACATGGGAGCATTTGTTATGTATTTGTTTTGTTGTGATATACAGGAGCGTGAAAGACAAAAGGAAGAAAAGAGACTGGAGGCTAAACGACTGAAGGAATGGAACAGACCAAGAGAAGACCTAGAGTTGGATGATTTGAAGGTTTTTGTTTCCTATTCTCTTGGAAATGTGGATTAAAAATTAATGGTTCTATGGAGCTCTGAACCCTTTCACTCTCAGGACCTCTTTTTTAGTTTTAATTCTTATCTGTTTACCATACAGTTGTTATGAGGTCAACCAATAATTCCTACTTAATGTGATATTGATATTGTAAGTAGAAATTCTTTCTTGGTCACTCGTGGGAGTCAAAGGGCCAAGGCTTGCACTGGTTGTTATGCATTCACCTTGTTGGTGTTACTTGTATATAACACTCAGGCAATAAAAAGCTTGTCTCACATGGTGCAGTATTTCTCATGTCCAGGTAATTTGATTAAATAGTAAGTAGAAAGTAGGTTTGTAGAATTATGCTCCATTAAATAGGTGGTCAGACTGATGATTGGCTTTAGAATAAATTTCAAGTAGTTTCTTACTCTTCTGGATGCTGAAATATCTTCCCTGAAGACAAAAACAAAATTCTTATTTTAATGCAAAAGGTCCTTGAATTTGAGAGCCAAGGTCCTTGAAAATGACCTAAAAAGTCCTTGAAAATCCTTGAACTGGGTTCCTGAAAAAGTACAAGAACCCTGTCACATGATTATTATTATTATTTTTTTATATTGTTTAAAAAAAATGTCAGAAAAAATTACATTGACAAGTATATCACTGCTTGTTGTGAAACTTTGTCTTGTTTTTATTGATTAGTTAATCATCTGGTTTTTCTCTTAGTCGCAGAAAGGGTGTGTTCACACGAGACAAAGTGAAAATGTTCTTGAAGATTAGTTGTGAGAGGAGTACTCCCCATTCTGAAGATGGCATCTATATTGTTCAGGTGAGATAACACACATGATAACGCATACAAATTGCATAAAACAATTTTGGATGTTTTCTCATATTCTTCACATTTTGGACTTAACCTGCATGCTTTCCATTTCTGTTTTTAGAGAGTATTTAGGCAGAAGTTTGATCTGGGTGAACCAGACATTCAGCTGAAGCTTGGTTCTTCACCAAAGGATAAGAAACAGAAGAAAAGGGGCATCTCTCATGCTGACCAAGATGGAGAGAGTGAGCCAGCTAAAAAGAAAAGGAAAAGGAAGAAGGGAGAGGAAGGGAAGAGCGAAGGAGGAATTTCTAAAAAGAAAGGAAAGGTAAGATAATCATTTGGGAAACTACAGACAGGCATTGCTGTCAAGACAAGCTTTCATTGCATGGAACCTGCACCTTTCATGGTTTTGGCTCCTACAGTATGTTTATTCCAGCACTTATGGCTACAGTGCTATCTTAATCTTACCACATGGGGGGCAAGGCCAATCTTGTGCATCTGGCAGACTTGCAATATCCTGGGAAGCAAAAGCGGTATCAATATACTTTGTTGGTAATCCACTATTTAAGAGCTATTTCAAGAGTGATGTCTTTATGGAAATGAATGATAATATCTCTTTAAATTTCAGAAGGAGAAGAATAAAAAAAGTAAGGAAGATAAGATGAAGCTTCCACCTGAGGAATGGCGCAAAATCATGGAACAAGAAAAGGAGAAGAGGAAAAAACAAATGGAAGAAGAAAAAGAAAAAAAGAGACTGGAAAGAGAAAGGGAAAAAGCTGAGAACAAAGCCAAGAGAGAAGAGGAAAGGGCAGTCAAGAAGATTGAGAGAGACAAGGTCAGGGCATAATAAAGTTTCATGTACATCATAACTAGATTTCTTCTTTACCTTAATTTGTAATTACTTTCTGTTGCCTGCAAGTTTGTGTGATTTTTGTTTTGATGCCACATTTGTATAACAGTTACGTAGTTTATTTGCTTAAATTTGGATGAAGATAACCTGCTTTTCAATTTGGTGAACTGATTTAGACAACCTTACATGTAGACTACAACTGAAAGGATTGCAGTGACAAATGAAAATTTGTCATTACAAAACAATAGTTATTATTACATGCAAATGAGTACAGGAATATGTATTAGATTACACTCGATTGGCAATTATATGGAATATTTTATACTGTGGGCCTGGATTCCTAAATGGTATGAACCCAGACCTTGTTTTATCTCTCTGGCTGGATTTAGCACTCTCCAGTGAATAAGTGCCTGTAAATCAGGGAGTAGGGGTTGCTATAATGCGAGCCTGAGTCTTTTATGGTGAGCCGGAGCCATTTTTTGCAAGCCCCGGGAAAATAACATCCAAATCTGGACGTAATACCTTTTTATGGTCATGGTCCCAGGCGTTCCTTGTTTAAACCGTGGAAACTGAAGATGAGACTACGACAACTTGTCTTATAGGGGGGTTGCTATAATGCGAACCTGAGCCATTTTTTGTGAGCCCTGGGAAAATAACGTTCAAATCTGGACATGATGCCTTTTTATGGTCATGGTCCCAGGCTTTCCTTGTTTAAACCGCGGAAACTGAGGATGAGACTATGACAACTTGTCGTATCATGTGCTCGCTGATTGTAAACAACACAATTTTCCAAATGTTGTGTTTTGGGATGGTCGCACGGCAAAGATTACTGTCTTATACGCTGTTCTCACATACAAACACACGCACTGTTCGTGGTAGGCCCACACTAAACGACGTAGAGCATTTTGGCTCAAACTACGCAAATACTGGCAAAACTGTGACAGCCGATTAACAACAAACTATGAAGCTGAGACGAACACTTTGCTCGAAGGTGGCGCTAACAATGAACTGGATAGGGATGCTGACAGAAGCAACATGAATAGTAATGTTAAATATCTAAGCTCAGCTCTTCCAAATTAAATACCTGTTTCTGTAATTGGTTTCCATCGGGTTCAATGCTTGTAAAGTACGATTTGATATTTCGTACATAATCACTATTATTATTGTGCAAGCGATGATGAAAGTTGGTTTGCTCTTTGCATGGAGTTATGAGTGCTTAGTAGAAGACATGATGAATACTCTTGATGACTGTGATCTACTAGAAAAATTTTCCAATATGACCAATGTGCATGAACATAATGATGTTACAGTGTCATTAAAGGTAAAAAAATTCAGATCTCGTGATGCATATTATAATAATTGTACTCGTGTTTTTTGTGAATGCTATGGCTTTGTAGTTTCAAATAAATTTTACGCGTGGAGAATTCTCAAGTAAAGCGCTTGCTACGAAGCCCGAGTGAATGCTCCTCAAACGTCTAGTCTGATATTTTTTTCAGATTTTCACCTTTAAATGCTTTCTGGAGAGGAGCCAAAGACTGTTAGAATAAAATGAGGAGAGAAAATGGAAAGATATATATAGAACAAACAGTGGCTTGCAAGAAGAGGCTCGGGGCTCACCAAAAACGGCTCTGGCTCACAGACTCGCACATTAGTTACTCTCTCAGGGAGTAGGGATGTGTCACTTACCCATCCAATGTACTGGGACCAGGCTAAAGCCTTTACCCGGTAGAAATGATTACCTTGTGCATGTAGCTTCTCCCTGTAATATCAGGTTATTATTTGGGTGGTGGGTGTTGAGAATAGACAAATTAATCACTTAGTGAGGGTTATCTAGATGTTATATGAAATTCCCTTTTAAATGGTAGTGCATCACAAGTATATACATCTAATAGAGCTTATAATCAGATTTGTTGGGGTACATGGGAGCATTTGTTATGTATTTGTTTTGTTGTGATATACAGGAGCGTGAAAGACAAAAGGAAGAAAAGAGACTGGAGGCTAAACGACTGAAGGAATGGAACAGACCAAGAGAAGACCTAGAGTTGGATGATTTGAAGGTTTTTGTTTCCTATTCTCTTGGAAATGTGGATTAAAATTAATGGTTCTATGGAGCTCTGAACCCTTTCACTCTCAGGACCTCTTTTTTAGTTTTAATTCTTATCTGTTTACCATACAGTTGTTATGAGGTCAACCAATAATTCCTACTTAATGTGATATTGATATTGTAAGTAGAAATTCTTTCTTGGTCACTCGTGGGAGTCAAAGGGCCAAGGCTTGCACTGGTTGTTATGCATTCACCTTGTTGGTGTTACTTGTATATAACACTCAGGCAATAAAAAGCTTGTCTCACATGGTGCAGTATTTCTCATGTCCAGGTAATTTGATTAAATAGTAAGTAGAAAGTAGGTTTGTAGAATTATGCTCCATTAAATAGGTGGTCAGACTGATGATTGGCTTTAGAATAAATTTCAAGTAGTTTCTTACTCTTCTGGATGCTGAAATATCTTCCCTGAAGACAAAAACAAAATTCTTGATGTAATATTTCAAAAACTCGTACTTCTTGTTTCATCGAGGTTTCCAAACACGAGAAAAATGATGAAAGCACAAGGCCCTAGGCCAAGTGCTTTTATTGTTTTCAAGTGTTTGAAAACCCTGATGAAACATAAAGCACAAGTTTTTGAAATTGCCTCTCAATCGTGCATCATTTAACCAAGAACAATGAAATAATTCAGACTGATTTTGGCATCAGTGGGGTTTGACATCAAGCTGTAGGGTTTGATATTTCATCAACGTATAGTGGAAAAGCCTCTGTCCAGTGTTTCATCAGGGTTTCTAAATGCACATGTGGCCAAATTGGTGTATCATGATTGGTTTGTAACTTGATGAATTATTAATGAATTTGAGAAATTATTATCTCACTTTTACTGTTTCTCTAGTACCAAACATTAGTTGAACAAACATTTAAGAAAACCATCAATGAAGTGATTATTCAACAGATCTAATGTGTAATATTTGATAAACAGGATCTGCCTAAAACTGTTCCGGTCTCCATCAAACTTTCATCCAACCTGTTTGGAGATATGATGATGGTCTTGGAATTTCTCAATGTTTTTGGAAGCCTGTTTGACATCAGAGATGAATTTCCTAGTGGCCTTACATTTGGTGAGCATACATGTTTTTATAGTGTTATCAATTACTTTCAAGATCAACCTTACTTTTTTCCATCTGTATGGATGAAAAACATTTTCAGAAAGATTTCTCTTGCTGCAAAAGCAGTTAAGGAACTTTTTAACAATGCACAGGGTGATAAAGAAAATTGATAAGAAGAAAGTTTTGTACAAAAGTGCCTTTGAAATAAAAGCTAGTGCTAAGAAGTCACGACGTTTCGACCTCTCTGAGGTCATTTTGAAGTGAGTAAGTTTTCCAGATCAGCATAAATATGTTGAAGCAAGTTGAAGACGATAAAATGTGGCTACACATGCCGATACTTACACCAACGAATTGAAGAACACAAAAGATCGGCAATCGGACACCACCTAAGAGAGCAGCACGACATGGAGCCAGAAGACATCACACAGAGTTTTCGAATCTTAAGGAAGTGTAAGAACGAATTTGACTGTCTTGTTTTTGAAATGTTTTTTTTATCAAAGAACTGAAACCAATGCTAAACAAACAGTGCAATTCAATTCGCACCAAACTATTTGTTTAGAGCAATTCATGCTACAATTATTTTATTCTTTTATTCCTTTATTCTTTTATTCTCTCCCATTGTATATTGTTTACACTTTTTCACATATTTTAGTGTTCGCCACATTTTATTGTCTTCAACTTGCTTCAATATATTTATGCTGATTTGGAAAACTTACTCACTTGACAATGACCTCAGAGAGGTCGAAATGTCGTGACTTCTTAGGGCTAGCTGTTATTACAAAATTGCCCCCCTCCCAAAAAAAAAAAATTATGGTTTACAATGAAGAAGAAAAACAATAGATGTCCTTCATGTTACATCACTAAAGTTACCAACTACAAAGTTGTTTAAAGTGGCAAGCAGGTATTGATAAAGTGCTGCAACATTTCCAAAGTGTCTTAATATCATTCTACTTTCATCCTGTGAGACTATTTAATCATTGATTTGCTTTCTTCTTACCTTGTTAATCAAAGCTATGTTACAAGAAGCTCTAACTGAACATGATGCAGAGGGTGTTTACTATGATTTGCTGTTGTTCTTGTTGGGAGCAATACTTCGCACTCACCTAGAAGAAGAGGAGGAAGAAGGCTTGGATGGTACTCATGAGCATGAACCTGTCATGGATGTTGAAGATGACGGTGATGAGAAATCACAGGCAACAGTGTCAGCCTCAGCCTCAATGGCAGCTGCTTGGCCAATGCAGCACCAGGGAAAACCTCTTCATGAATTAATAATGGACCCCTTCACAAGCTCTGAGCTGCTGAGATTGCATTTGTTATCATCTGGTGCCAGAATAGGTAGGAAATTTTACTTGATCATTTTAAAATCAATGTAAATCATGTGATCTTGTAGCAGTTGCATAATCTTGGGTTAAGCTTAGTTTTATAGGTACCAGTAATAGCACAGGGCTGAATTAAATTAAGGCATAATTTTGTGTGAGTTTTCAGAAGTTTCTGATGAAACATTCAATGACCTATAACATAAATGGCAAAATTTTCTTCTGTTAGCCCGTTATCTCCCATGGGTAAACAAGACAGGTTGTTTACTTACAATATAAGTACAGTCTCAGGAAGAAAAAGAAATAACAACTAGGGGAATGTTAGTTGATTCAGTCTGTACCACACACACTGTTGCACAATTTTGTATGAAGCCATTTTATTGTTCAGTTAGTGTCAATGAACTGTAAAACCGACAAATCAGCTGACTGAAATTGTATTTTTTTAAACAATGCCAAAGCAATGATACCAGCCCTGCCAAAACCATTTGCCATCAATGAAATGATAATACTCGTGACAATAAACATGCTCTTAGGATGATTTTTGGTTACGAAGTGCATTAAGCAGATGCCCTGGTATGTTCAGGCCTCGTTACATTAGAGCAAAAAAGGATGGAACTATGTAAAAAACTTTTTAACAAAATTGTGGATAACCCCCTGGATGTTCTGCATCCTCTTATTCCTTTCAACGAGAGACCAACTGAGGACCTCAGGAATGCTGGACCATACCGTGTAAAGCCATGTAAGACCAATAGGTGTCGTGACACTTTTATTAACAAATGTGCAGTTTTTTTTTAGCAATTCAACTGCGCTAATTCTAAAATTTTATATTCGTAGTCGTAGTCATAGGATTCTTCTTGTAAGCATGCAAGTAATTTTGTAATTATATTTATAAAATTTCCCCTTCTATACCTTGTAAACCTTAGCAATTCAGTCCATGTTGTTATTAAGGTATTGAATAAATCATTCTTCTCTCTCCCTCTACTTTTAAGGAAAAGTGAAGCCTTTTTTGATAGTTTCAATTTCAGGTAATTTTGCACAGGGCAATCGCTAAAATAAATGAAAAATTCCCTCTTTCTCAGCCAATCAGCTGAGGAAACACTTAAAGAGTTTGTAATTAGCGCCTCACACTCATGATTTACAAACTTTGTGGCTGGATGTTTGCTAGATTTTCTTACATCCACTGGTAATACTTCGTTATGTAAAATGTACACAAGTGTGTAACAGAATAAGCATTGACTGAAACAGTTACATGAGTATTTTGAACTTTCCAATAACTGATTCAATTTACCAAAGATTTTTAAGGTAGGGCATTACTGTGCTTGTTACAGAATCTGAAATTTAAGCCTTTAAGCTTATTACAACTCTGATTTAAGAAGCACTGAATACCATTTGATGTGTGCTTTTTCAACAGACAAAGGTAAATGTACATTAAGTTCTGATATATTCAAACAGACAGACAATCTTTATTTTAGCACGATAGTAATAAAAGGTATGCAGCTATGGGGTCAAAACAGAAAGAGGTAACAGTACACTAAGTGGAGTACATGTATGATTGTAGTAAAGCTTCTAAATGTATGATTGCTTAGAACAGCTGCTCAAGAGTGGTCCCTTGTAGGAGTTAAAATGTACCAAAACAGTCTTTAATGATAACAGCCCAGGAATAGAGTCTTACTTTCCCACATTAAACATGTATGTTCACATTGAGACTTGCTTCCTTTCGCCATAAGGTTGCGGTGAGTCATCTTATCGCTGGCAGCGCCGCGGTGGATTTACATACAGTGATGACGCTGGAGTAGAATTTCGCCATGCTGAACCTCAGCTATTAAAATCTTTGGTGACAGGGAATATCTACGATATGAATGCTGGTGACAAACTCAAAATTCTTGTTGCCCTGTGTACTCAATTGATAACATATGCAACAGCCAGAGACTATATTGAAGAAGGATTTGATCAGTAAGTGTATGAAGATTCTATATGCTAAAATGTTTCGTAAAACCGTTTTTCAGTTATATGACGATGAATTGTACTTTTATTGTAACCAAACTTCACCTGGACTGGTACGTGTACTCATTGCGCTTCAGGTGCCGCAAGGTCCGTCGGGAGTGGCAAGAGGACCAGTGGGCAGATCAGCGGAAGGAGAAAGTGGAAGCAGCTGCAAAGTATCGGCGGAAACAAGAGGAAAGACAGCGGCAGAAGGAGGAAATGGAAAAACGGAAAAAAGAGAAGGATCAGGAGAGGATCGATGCTGCAAAAGGAGAGTCCAGGTATCATCAGCTTTGCATTTGAGTTAGAGGCTTGTAGATAGTTACTAATGTAGCCGTGATGAGTGCGCCTACTTTGCTATATGGTCATAAGTAAGAAAAGTATAGTGTCATTTTCTCTCAAAAGTATGTTTAATGGATCCTCTTCATCAAATCCCTTGTATTTGAAAAATTTAGCTTTAGTGTTTTCAGTGTAAAAACTGAAGATGGAATCAAGATAGACTTGAAACGAGAGGAAGAAGATCAAGGAAAGAAAGGAGGAAAGAAACTTACCAAAAAGAAGGACGAACATGAGAATACTTCTCAAGCGAGCGAAGCGAAAGAACCAACGACCACAGACAGCAAAGTAGACGAAAGCAAAGGTACGGCAGAGAAGGACGGCAACACAAATCACGCTCCTGTTTTAACCAAAGAGGAGGAAGAAGAGTTGGCGCAGCAGAGACGTGAGGAACGCAAGAGGAAGGACCAGGAGTTTATGAATCAATTGGCAAAAGCAGTATCTAGAAGTGCAATCCAGCCACTAGGACGAGACAGGGTCTACCGGCGATACTGGGTATTTAGATCACTGCGAGGACTGTTTGTAGAGGATGATGACCCGGATCAACACTTGCTGTTAGAGCCAGAGTCCGAGTCTGAATCTGAGGTAAGCGCTGATGGGTGTTTAAGTTCTCTCTAGAAAGATCAGGGTGGAAAGCGATCATCGTCGTATCTACGTGTTGTGTTTATGTAGACTCGGAGGAGTAGGAAACTGGAACATAATTGATTGTGAAAAGTGTCTCGACATACTCAGAGCAAAAAGAACCACAACTAAAGATAAGCGATGTAGATAAAAGAATGGTTTTGGTTCAGAGGACTCCATTGAAGGAAAAATGCATAGCAGAGTAATCACTTGACAACAAAGTTAACTATACAGTGTACGCGGTGTGGCAAGGTAGAGTTATTCTTCCCTGACGCGGCATGTTCTTTGTCTCTTAAAAGGCAAATTTAATTCTGGTGCGAAAATGGTAATATTTGGAGTTAAAAAAGGCCCTGTTTTTTTTTTTGTTTTGTTCCAAACGATATCGTAAAGCTAAAAGTGTGGCAATCGATTTGTTTGATGAAGTTTGAATAAGGCGAACTAAAAAACCGCTAAAAAAGTTTCTGCTTTGGTCATATTTAAGTTGGTAGAACCCCCAACTGTTACCATGCCTCGAATACTTATCTCTATTTCCTGGCTTTACTTTCTGTAGTTTCTATATTGTAGAGTACCCCATGAAGTCCCCAGTCAGGAATGCTGAATTCGTCACTTGTTATCCAAAAGTCAAATGAGCTATATTTTACTCATTTTGGGAGTGAAACAAGTAACATTTGTTCTTTACAGAATAACGAGGAAGGAAGTGATGATGAAGGAAAAGAAGAAGGAAAAGAGAATGGAAGTTTGTCATTCGATTCGAATGATTTGGTTAAAACGAAGAAGCAACAAACTGGTTTAGTGAACGGCGATGCTACAGTAAAGAAGGAATGCTTCGAGCGGAAAGTTATGAACATGTTTAAAGCTTATCATTTAGTTAGAGAAGCGTCTGAAGATGAGACCTGGAGCGAGCTTTACAGGAAAAGACCTATGGCGAAGTGGTCTTACTTTGCTTCCAGAGAAGACATAGACGGTTTGTTAGAAGCATTGAATCCACGCGGATTCCGCGAGAGACTTTTGAAAGATGCAATTCAACAAGAATACAAACAACTTGCACTTGCTGTGGACAAGTGTCCGTTGAAAGCCGATCTTCAGGCTCAGAAAAAGGAGTCCAAGCCTAAGGGAAAGCGAGGAGGTCGAAACCAGCCCACTGTAGATAAGTCGCGGTATAAGACAATGGAGGAGTTCATTGAAGCGAATTTACGCGATCAGATACTTGACTTAGAGGACAGAATATGGCAGGGTGGACTGGGAGTTATCAGGAATATAGACCGTGAGGCGTGGAGAGCTAAATTGGAAAATGGTATCTATGATGATAAGACTCAGACCCAACATGCCAGCGACGAGTGTAAGGTCAATGGAGTAAGTGATGTCAAAGAAAATGGTAAGGAACAGCTTATGGAGCTTGATGAAAGTGTTGGAGACGATAGCAAGCTTAATGAGGACAACAGAGAGGAAACATTCAGTGTAAAGAAAGAAAGGCCAATGAATTGTGACGAGGAGGAACTGCCAATTGTGAATGGAGTTAAGGATGAGATTAAACACGGACACAATACAGGTAACCGGTTCTTTTTGCATATTTTGGTGTTAGGCTGGACACTTAAGTCCCATGTTTCCCCCTCTCCTTTTCTGAAGAAGAAAACTGTACCGTCTGACGTTAAAGGTAACTACAGCGTAGTATACTTACTATAGCGTAGGGAGTAACTTCCAATGGACTATTTCCCATTCAGGTAGAGTTGTAACCGTTTTAGTCGCTCGAGACCGGAATGAATTCTCACTCTGCGCGCCGCTTGATTCGTTTATAAGGAAAATTGTAACCTAAATTAAAAAATGAGAAGGCAAACAAATCAAATTTAAAACCAACGCTGAACACGCGTACTTTGGATTTCTTACTTTTCATTTATAATTTTCCTTGCAGGGTTCATTTAGTTTAAAATGGGCCTTGTTTCTGTGGTCGAGATGCAAACGTGGCAGTCGCAAAAGCTCTACCTGTTACAGAACAATATAATTTAGTATAGGAATGAGGAAGGGCTAACGCTCGAAACTTCAGCTTTTTAACTCTCTACGGTGGCCAATTTACAATTTAACTTCTTTGATATTACTAAATTACCTTGTTACCCCCACCGACGCAGCACCACAGTTTCTTTAGAAACTTACCCCCTGTTACAGAACAGTCCGCTTCCCACCTCGTTTCAGTTATCGCAACTTTCACGACTGTTCTCTTTCTACCTGTTGTAGAATCCGCAGATGGCGTTAAAATGGAAGTCAAGCCAGATGAACGTTCATTTACAGCTGTTCCATCTAATCTTCAGCTTAATAGCTGCGCCTCACCCCCAGCGGCTGACACGCGGTGCAGTACACCCACTCTTAGCTTATATGTTGGACCTGTGGCAGTCAACCCCGCTGTCAGAGAACTTGCGCTGGAACTGCTCAAGGTATGAGGAATTTCGTAAGAGATACAGTAAGGCCAGTCATAGCAGCTGCACTGATATGTCAGAGAAATCAGTTGAATTTGAATTTTCAATATTAAAAGCGTGGATGAATTGATTTTGATTGACGAAGTGCTGTAATCGTTCGAAACTATTCCGCCACCTCCTTTGCTAGTGAGGTACAAGACTTAACTAAATCCGACACAGTTACTCACAGTTTGCTAGCCCTTACGTAGGGTATAAACTGACTTCTTGTGATATTTACAGTTTATCTCCTTGGTTGTTGTGTTTACCTTGGGATCACTTAGCGTAGCTCTTGGCAGCGCATGCGCAGTTCAAAATGATTTAGTCCGCACTCCTCATCAACCTTTTGCCGACTGAAACTTTCCCAAGAACTCATAAAAACTACATTTCAAGTCCTAAGATATCCTGAGTGATAGAAGGTAGTGGCCTCCAGCGGTTTATCTTTTACTGACTAGGGTTTCATTTTGTTATGGTTTACTAGTTGAAACAAGATGCTTTTGACGAGCGTACAATTTTAATTTCGTCCGTTCAGCATCAGGAATCAAGATCAAAATGTATTCCTTACCTGTCTGGTAGACTCTATTTGGCCCTTTTGCTTCGCCCTTTCTGATTAAGCTAATGAGTGTCTTTAACTTAACAGGTAGAGCAAGGCATAGAGAAAAAGTATCTGAATCCACCTCTTGGTGAGGACGAGGAGACCAAGCGACAGAGACAGAAAGAGGCGGCTGCTGCGGCTGTCAGCGAGTTCAACGAGGTGATGAAAGCTGCAGAGACTAAGGAGAAGCAGAAGAAGGACAAGAAAATGGAGAATGATAGTAACGGAGAAGATGCAAAACATAACAAGAAGAAGAAGGGCGAGGATGAAGGAGAAGAGGGAAATGACCACGATAGGAGCTGTAGCCCGTCGGAGAAGGAGGAGGAGCAACCAATAAAACAGAAGACATGTCTGGAGAGGTGGGAGGAGTCCCTCCTTGTGTGTACAAATTTGTCGCAGGTGTTTGTGCATTTGAACACGTTGGATCAGTCCATTGCCTGGAGCAAGTCTGTGCTAAACGCTCGGTGTCGATTGTGCAGAAGGAAAGGAGATGCGGAACACATGCTGCTTTGTGATGCCTGTGATAAGGGTCATCATATGTACTGCCTTAAACCACCTATCAAGGAGGTATGTAACTGAACAGTGTGCACCATTATACTGATACTGAACGTTCAGTGCGTATTTTTATTATTATTATTATGTTTGTCTATAATTGTGTGTGTCATCGGGTTAGATGCTTTGCGGCGTAGATGCTTTCTCCTTTCTAATGGATGGGTCAAACTGAAACTTCGCTCTCTTAATTGACTTGTTTACAATAATAAAATAACATTAAATAACCTTTATTTTAAGGTGGTCAAATGTTCTTAGCTAATTAGCTACTTTACAGACATGCCACGAAAAATAAATAGATAAACTAGAAATAATAATAGAAAGAGAAGATTTCTCATAAAAACCTATATACAAATATTTATACAATTAAAAAAGGACGTAAAGACAGCAGAGTGACACTAACTCTCAAAAAAGAAGCAACAACTTTGAGTTTAAATTTACAAGACATGTTTCGACATTCTCATGTCATCTTCAGTTGCAAATGAGCATTTAACTGTTGTACATTTGAATTTAAATTAGGGTACGTTACAAACTACGTGTCAGTGCTTACGTTACATTTGAATGTTAAAAACGCGAAAGATGTAAATAGCGCGCGCTTGACTAGATCAAAAAATAAATAGATAAATAAAAAATAAATAAATAAATGTAATAATAATAAAAATAAATTAAAAGACCAAGGAACAACATCATTAAAAGGAAAGAGACAATTCTAGATGTTTCAATTGCTGATTAAGGATAGGTTTTTCCCACTTAATATGCAATGCCTCTTTGATCTTAATTTGGTATTTTGAAGGGGCAGAATCTAAGATCGTGAAACATTCAGTATCACAAGAGTCAAGACAGGCCCTTGATGATTGCAGGTGCTTGTAAATATGCGAAGTTTTGTCCGACAAGAGGTGCTCACGAACTCGTGTANGAGCAACTGAGCTACTAGTATATGTCCGTGTTAAAACACACGAAAGGACTCTAAAGCACACTTCACTCTGATTGGGCAGAAAAACACAAAGATTTTCTGGCACCAATCAGATGGCAGAACGACTGCGACCGTTTGGAACTAGTCTTGTAAGACAATGTCCCCAGGGGCTCTTCATGCCCCAACTTGAAATCGACTCAGCCCATGGATCTCCGAGGATGGGCCGCCATGTTGGTGGACGTAAACAATGGATATCTCATTAGCTTCTTTTGTTCGTCCACCAGCATTTGTTGCTTTCACCATTGTTACCTGTGTCTCTAGAGATTGGTAGCAAACCACCTATAACGCCACGATTTAAGACCGTAGGTGGTTGTATTTACTGAGTAGCTCGAGGATATGTTTTCGTCTAAGATTATAATTAGTTGATCGTTCATGCAATAGCTCTCTTATTCCTTTAGAGACTTTGTACCCATGGATAGCTTTGTAGTTACCGGTGGCTATTTTAACAATTCTCTGATTAAGTGGAGACCACAGGTTTAGTTTGAGCAACGTCTCGTACGTGGGTTGACTTGTCACGGGTCATAAAGCGAAGGGCTCGTCCATTGATTTTTTCAAGTTTGCCGGAACCTCTTTTACCACAGTCATGCCACGACTTTGAGTAGTAATTGAAATGCGGTGTAATGAAAGCACGATATATATCTATCCTCAATTCAAAAGGCAATATTTTCTTCAGACGATTGAGAACAGCAACCTGTTGACTTACTTTACCACAGATTTTACGAGTCTGTCCCTTAAACTTAAGCTTGTTATCGAGAGTGAGGCCAAGAAGTTTCAAGTCTACCGGTAATTTTAAAGAATTCAACTACCCTATTGTCTCTGAGAAACCCAAGCTTTCCTTTTAAATTACAACTATTGTGACGGGGCTACCTACTACTGACCAATTCACATAGGGGTAACTAGTGATGTGTTCCAGCTACTTTTGCTTTGCATCTATGTAATATTTGGCGCTTTTGACAATTTTTATCTTCGTTTAATCCTGATAAATCGAACCATTTAGATGAAAAATGGCAAATAGCTTATCCTTTGGCAGCTGACCAGTGTTGTCATAATTTGTTGTTGAAGTGATACGGTTTCTTTACCCAGGTTCCCGAGGGACAGTGGTTTTGTGCTGATTGTCGTCCTAAGGAAACAAGGCGCAGCGAGAGAAGGAAAAAGCCAGCGGTCAATGATGAGAATGAAGAGGAAGAAAATGAGCAGTCAAAAGAGGAAGAGGAAGAAAGCGAAGAAGTTAGCGATGAGGATGAAGCCGACAGTAAATCAAACAGTGATCAGGACGAGTCTGAACAAAGTAAAGTTTTGCTGGGTTCTGTTTATTTTATTTAATTTGACATGGTTATTGTTACTATGAATTTCCTCCAAGTGACATCACTTTGTGTGAATACATTGACCATTTTGTTTCGCGATAAGTCTTTGACTTTTAATTTTGATCAGTGACTGGATTGAATTTTGGAGATTACAGATGGTGCTCTCCAAGACTTTCTGTTATACTGGCAATCTCAGGGTCACAAGGAACTTTAGATTACAATTGTTTGCCCTGGTTGCCAATATTTTTTTATAGGGCGAAGATACTTTGGCCCTATACCCTCTCTCCGCTCACGCCTCTCTCGCTTGATTGGAGGAAAATGAAAGGCCACCAACCATCTGGATTAAAATCGCAGAATGAAAAAATTAGCGTTATCTTTAGACTACGTGTCCTTTTTTTAGTCTGTTTCAATCATCTCCATCCTTAATCCCTCTTGGTTTAATGTTGCCATTTTTTCTCTACATACATGATGCAATAATACGTCGCAGCCTCCTTCAAAAAGTGAAGGTAGTTTTCACGACGCAAAGGAACCCTGTCAGAATATCATGATACCGTAATCCACTATCTGCCTTCATTTTCAATGACAGGTGACGCCAGTGAAACCTCTGAGCATGGCGATCAATGTGCAGTGTGTACTGAGGGGGGAGAGCTGCTGTGCTGTGACACATGTCCACTTGCCTACCATATTGGTTGTGTTTATCCACCCTTACGACGAATTCCACGCGGGAACTGGGCATGTCAGGTGTGTACTGGGGCAGACGATGAACGGCCACGGAGCTGCCGCGTGAAGAAGGCCGCTATCGAAGGTAAGACTCGGGACTGTTTTTCGTTTGAGGTAAAGTTATGTCCTTTTCAGATAGGTCGGGTTTTCGGGAATCATTGAATTTCTGTTTCGTTTTATCCTGTTCTTTGCATTTGGTATCTGATATTATTAGGAAAAGACGGAGTAGCCAAGTTAAGGGGAAAATGCTACAAAGCTGATCCAAAGTACAACGATGCAGTATTCTTTTCATGTACAAAAGCTCGCTTAACCTTTTCACTCTTAAGATCTCATTCGATATCTTTACTGTCTGCTATGGAATTCTTACGATGTTACTTCGGAAAATTTGATGTTGGATCAATTAAAAATCCCCTGTTTGATCTTTTTCTTTTTTTTCTCTCATCACTTGCTGCTTGGTACTGTCTTGATGTTTTAAGGAGAAATTCTGTCTCGGTCACTCAAGACAGGTGCCTTTTATTCTCTCCAAATGTTATTAAATGCTCATCCCTTTTACTCTGCAACTTGTAGCTGCCCAGAGAAGTCTCCAGCGGAGCATGAAGGCTGGGAAAAAGAAAGCCACCCGTAGCAATTCCCGTCAGAGCAGCAGGCAAACAAAGAAAACGAACAGTCGGAGTCGGAAAAGACAACCGTCGTCTTCTCCATCACCTCCACCGCTTTCACGAGCTGGCGCCAAAACTGACAAGTCTAGCAAGCGGCAGCGACTCTCTTCGTCGTCACCTTCACCGTCATCTCGTTCTGCGTCGCCTGCGTTGAAATCCAGTCGGAGAGGTACCGTTAAGATAGCATCGCGTAGCCGAGGTCGAAGTTCTCTCGATTCTTCCCGATCCTCGTCTCCAGTGCTTCTATCTGAGCCGAGTCAAAAGGCTTCTGGAAGGAAAGATCCTAAGCTGGGGGCAAAGTTTGTTTTGTGCCAAAAGTTGCTAAATGAGATGATGAAACACGAGGACGCCTGGCCCTTCACTGAACCTGTGGACGTTGATGAGGTAAATCGTGAACTGCGGCTAAATATTCGATGTCACCTGTACCTGGCATTGCGTTTAAACCTAGAATTAGCTTGGCTCTTTTTCAAGTAAACTCTTCTCCTTCACAAATCCTGTAACTAACATGTATCTTCACACTTGAGACAACTTAGCAACGTACCAACTTTCATTGTCCTCTTAGGGGGGAAGGGGGCCCGGTCGCTGTTAATTCCCATAAGTTGTATCGAAGCCCTGTTTATAAAGAGAGAGACACAAAAATAACAGATTACAATAAGCCTGGAAGGAAGAGGGTTATGTTACAAGTTGCAAACCCGTGAAAATTTAGCCAAATTCTTCAAGATGTAGTAATGGGTACGAAAATTTAAGGTAAACAATGCATTGCAATTAGATAAATATTATCTCCGTCAGTTCCTTTGTATTTTTTATTTTTATCGTAGAACCCTGATTATCTGCAGATCATAGAAAGGCCCATGGACTTGGGAACCATTAAGCAAAATTTAGCTGCCAAAGCATACGATCATGTGGAAGATTTCGCCGCTGACGTTCGTCAAGTGTTCATTAACTGTTCAGAATATTGTCGGCCACGAGGCAAGGAAGCCCGAGCTGGGATTCGGTTGTCGGCTTTTTTTGAGACGCAGTACTCCGACATGGGACTAGATACGACAGAAGCTCGCACGACTCGAAGTAGACGAATATGAATCCGCTGACAAGTGTGAAGATTGAACCAAGAACCTGTGTGAAAAACAAAACTGAAGAACAGTAGTCTCTCTCGTCTCCGTTTTCTATTTTATGGGGGAATAAGGAAAAAGGAGAAATCAATGTCTTCTCCGCCACTAAGTTGGTACTTTCTTGAACATTGCTAAAGACACAGAGACGAAGCAAACTTTGACAACTTGTCAAAAAAAACTCAGTACTCACATAATTATACTATTCGTTCGCTTTAGTCGTCAAATCAGTGCATTTTGTACTTTGTTTAAGGCTCACTCGTCAGTCAAGCGGTATCTCGCCAAATATCCAAAAATAAGGGCAACGTCCATTGCCGTGCAATGCGAATCGGCTTTACTTCGAATAAGTTTAAAACAAACGCATAAAACAAAAAAACAAAAACAAAAAATACGCTTAAAATGGAATTATTTATGACTTGTTTGCGGATTCGCTCAAAGTTGTAAGTGTTACACTTGAAAATAGCGATACAACACAAGACATTCGTGCAATTAAGTTTGTGGAACACATGTCGATTACAACTTTACTCCTATGTAATGTCCCAACTGCATATCCAAAATTATGAAAGCGTAGGATAAGCATGTATATAGTCATCAAGAAATAAAGTGAGTAACTTTATATCATTAATGTGAGGAGTTTGTGAGATTGAAATAAGTTAGGGAAGCTGGTAAATTTGTCACTGATGTAACGGTCATTGCCGAATTTACAATGCTTTCCTTGACGAAGATAAGGCCTTGTCCTACCCCCTCCCCCTTTCCTCCGCTAAAATTTTGGCGTTGAGCGGACTCCTGATATGTGTGTAAGAACAGAAATGGAAAAAGGAAATTAAATTATTTGTAGTTATAGTCATTGCGACTAAGTAAACTATTCGGGAGACTGGTACAGTTGTCTTTAACCACAGGAGACTAACGGCCAACTCGAGACCTTTGAAGGAGTAGAACGAGGACTAAGGGAAGGCCGTTTCCGCCTGCTCTCACTATCTACGACTCTTTTCCTTTATTTTCCATGGGTAGTCGCCGACAATACAAGAGGCTGCAGGTACCCTTTCCAATATCTTTTAAAACGCGAAAACCATACAACAAAAGAACTCCAAGAGCTGTTGTAACCTTTTGACCACTTCAAACCCAATTGAATCGCATCTGAACTCTTCTTATAACATCAAACCTGAGTCACACATTAAGTCCATGAGAATAAAGGGAAAAAATTGAGGAACTGAACTGATCACAAATTCTCCTTGTCGGCACCTTAGGTATTGTATAGAGAACACTATGGAGAATATTCATACTGATTTTAGGGGTGTAGAGGGTATCACAACAGGTAACTCTTAATGGGGGGAGGAGCAGCCATCAGTCTCCAACGAGTTGTCATATTTATCATCGTCCTGTTGGTAGATACTCTCCATCGTCATACAGATTGTGGAAATAATATGGCGGCTGAACGGATAGGAAGCAAATCTTTTTACCGTTGACTTTTTTACGGCTTGTTCACGATGATCGATGATGATACGACTTCCTGGGACGACCACAATGCGAACCGCGAAAGCACTGGATCATACTCCCAGAAAGCACTTCGGTCATAACAGCGCTGGCAGTATAAATTGTTCCTTCGCTTGCTCTGGTTGTATCGAATCGCCAACTTGTGAGTTGCAGTTGAGAACATGGATAACAGATTAGACCAGAGTGACGATAACAGATACAGAACAAGTGCTCCAGTGCAGGTAAGTCGGAGCTACCTTTCAAAATTTCTCTGGAATAGGATAAATATGTTGCGAAACTAAGCCTAATTAACTAACTGTACGTGAAGTAGACGTTTCAAGGGGAAAGACTTGTCTATTACAAATCCGTGCTAATTCGAAGCTGGGTCATCTTCGCTTTTTTTTTCTCAAGGAGTAATTTCTTTTTTGTTTATGGTACTATACATACGACTAAGGGGTTTTGTGTGATAACCTTTGCTCTGACAAAACTGTCTCGCTATACAATGTAAGTGAGGTTAGAAAGTACATGTTAGCACCAAGCAGAATTACTGTTTATCAGCAAATTGCATTGAGAACAACTCTGGACTATTCAGGGTTTACTAGCTTCTCATCCTGTGCGGTAGTTATAATACGCGGTCGCATGTTGACGGAGATAAATATTTCCTGTGCATTGTACTTCGCATGTAATATGCTGCACGCTCAAGTTTTTACGAGAACAGGTTAAAACAACACCTTTGAGTTGTTTGTCGTTTTCTTATTACAGTTAATAATCTAATGGTCAGACTTTTCTCACTTGACGATCTTTCAAGTTTTTCCATAATTCATTCCTGCTAACTTAGGTTGATTACCCGTAGGAATTCCCGCCTGTTCCTTTCTGTTTCAACATGCCCCGTACGTCAATTTCGGTTGAGTCCTGGTGTACCGGTTAACGAAAATGTGTCCTGGTGTGCCCGTTAACCAAAATATGTCTTGGCGTGCTGGTTATCGAAAATTGCGTGACATCGGCCGATCGCGGAATGATAGCGTGACAGCTAGTTAGTTTCATGAATAATAAATGCTTGAAGGGTTAATTGGGCCAGTCGGGTCATTTGGGCCAGCGGGGTCATTTGGGTCATTTAGGCCAGTTGGGTCATTTGGGCCAATTGGGTCATTTGGGCCGGTTGGGTCATTTGGGCCGGTTGGGTCATTTAGGCCAGTTGGGTCATTTGGGCCGCTTGGGTCATTTGGGCCGGTTGGGTCATTTGGGCCGGTTGGGTCATTTT